TTAAAGGGGTCATCGGATGCCCATTTTCCACAAGTTGATGTGATTCTTTAGGGTCTTATTGAAAAGTCTGTAACATAGTTTGGTTAAAATTTCTCAATGGTAGTGTAAAAACAACACCCTTTTTACCCTGTCAAAAACAGCTCTGCACACAGCTTCCCGGTTCGGTGCATGTCCCTTTAAATGATAATGAGCTCTGCTCACCCCGCCCCTCTCTTCCGTGGGGTGACGAGCAGTACTGTTTACTTTAGCCGCGGAACTTGCTAACTAGCACGTTATTAGAAAAGGCGATTTGCAAGTATTCATAAAAGAACCTTATACTCGCTTCTTCTGTAGGTGAGGCTGGATCACGAATGATTCGCACGAACAAACACATTTAGGTAGATCGGGGGGTGCATTCCCTTCAAAAACAAAGCTAATCCACTGCGTCTTCAGCGGCTCAGATGTCGGGAGTAAATGACAACTGCTATGTTCATTATTACATCCAACAACAAAACACCTCAATCTCTTAGGAGCCATTCTTGTCTACCTCTGCTCCGGCGGTGAAACACTGGCAATCTGATGACAGCTCACTCAGTGCGGGTCTACAATCGTGACCAAAAATATTGGCAGTGACATAAAATTTGTGTTTTGCAAAATTTGCTACTTAAGCTGTTGTGGGTGTTCATTCACATTGTTTCTACAAGTATTGGCAGTGACATAATCTAGAAACAATGTAAATGAACACCACAACAGCTTAAGCAGCAAATTTTGCAAAACACAAAATTTATGTCACTGCCAATACTTTTGGCCACGACTGTAAGGTAAAAAACCAGTGTCAATCAACAATCGTGGGAGGGGCATGGGTCCGTGTGACGTCACACAGCCAAGAATCTGAGAACGGCTTGATTTGAGAAAGGATATTATTTATAGGGATTAAAAAAACACTTTTTTTTTTTTTATCATTATTAGGGTGGATGTGTACAAACACTGCCAACACACATTTATGTTGAAACAACATGTAAAAGTGAATTTTGCATCCAATGACCCCTTTAACATCACAGCTGACAACATATGGAAAACTCATAGTCAGATACGCAAATGATTATGTTTTGACTACAGGGAAATAACCTGATTTATTTAAAAAAATACAATAAATAAAAATCATGTAAACTCGGCTTATTTGCGTTGTCAGGTTACTGATGTGCATGTAAACGGGGAAAACTGGTTATTTTATTAAGCTGTTATCTGTGAGTTATCAGCTTACTGGTGTGCATGTAAACTCAGTGTTTTAAGAGCTGAAGGAATTATTTGCTTCATCTTATTTTTGGCTCTAATTTAATTAATTCAATTAGAATCAAACTCTGTATTACTTACTGCTCAAAACTGATGTACTTCACCACAGTCTGGTCGTCATTATCCAGCCAAACAGCCCAAATATCACTCGCCGTCAAGACAAAATCCACTAGCGTCTCCTGTTCCACACAAACACACATTCTTCTGAGTATACGTCCAACAGTTGAAGTACTCCACGTTTACTGTACTGATCTCTACCTGTGTTGTGAACAGTGTTGAGATGTGATCCAGGCTGTAGCGATTGTTCTCACTGGCCACCAGCTGCAGCACACAGAACTGACTGCGTTTGGGCACTGCGAGGTAGATGGCCAGACACAGGCCGGTGGATGAGGAGAAGAAGAGACGGAGCTTATGAGCCAGTGCTGGAGAAGCCTTCACCTCCCCACGACCGGCGGGCATATACTCCAACATATCAGTCACCAACAGACACATCTGATGCTAAAGGACAACAGATTAACACATCACTCTGAGTGGCATGAAATTACAGCAGCTACAGCTTATAGGGGTCATATGATGCGATTTCAAGTTTTTATTTTTTCTTTGGAGTGTTACAAGCTCTTGGTGCATAAAGAAGATCTGTAAAGTTGCAAAGACTAAAGTCTCAAATCCAAAGATATATTCTTTATAAAAGTTAAGAGTCAGCCACGCCTACCTAAAACGTTACATTTCTGATGCGTGCTTGTGGTGTTCGGCCAATCACAATGCACTGGGTCAGCTGGCCAATCATAGTAGACTGCGCTTGTCAAAGGAGGGGGCTTTGTTCAAAACGACGCGTTTGAGAGAGGCGGGGCATAGAGGACCTACAATAATATACAGTATTTGAAAAATAATGTGTTTTTTGAACATTAAAGCATGTCAACATATTCTGTTACACCAAATACACAAAATAATGATCTTTAAAATAGCATCATATGACCCCTTTAATAAATGAATTTATTTGTATGTGCATCATCCTCTCCTGGAGCCAAACTGACCTTAAACGACCACATGCGCAGCTTATGATCCTGACACAGTGTAAAAATGAAAGTGTCATCTTCTAGCTGGTGGACAGCCAGACTGATGGCCAGGTCAGGAATGCTCTGATCTCCCCTGTGAATGGATGCTCGGGTTAAACCACGTTTTTGCTCTGCTCTGGGTTGTATGGGATTCAATCAATATCTAAATTTTATGCAAAAAAAATAAAATACCTGATGGCTGTGGGCATCCAGCCGGCCAACCGCTGCATCATTGAACTCTGTTTCAACTCCTGAATGGACACGGTCCCTTTATAACAAGAAAGTGCAATCACGATTTTCTATAAACACAGATATCTGCAAATTTTGTTAAAAACTTCAAAGGTTAGTTCAATAAAATATAAAAAATAATTCTGTCATCATTTACTATCACATCATTTCAAACTCACAAGACTTCTGATCATCTTCAAAATGCAAATGAAAATATTAATAACATTCTCTTAGAATTTTTGTCTATCCAATGAAAATCCATGCAACCAAAACTTTCATTAAAAGTCCAAACAGCCATTATAAAAGTAATCAATATGAATTAAGCAGTTTAATCTAAGCCTTCTGATAAGACGCAATGTTTTTTTTAATGATGAACAGGCTTTTATTCATATATTAATATTGATTAACACACAGAGCTCACTAAATCTAGTAAAAAGCTCAACGGAACGAAAACAAACCTCATTGGTTGAGCTTCTGTGTTTACCATATTTGATGAGCTCTATGTATTTGCATTGCTCAGTGTTTATATATAAATAAAAGCCTAAACTAAAGGGATAGTTTATTAAGAAATTAAAAATCCTGTCATCATTCACAGGAGAAATCTACCCACATGTTTTTCCAAAACAGTATGACTGGCTTTCTTCTGTGTAGCACAAAATATATTTTGAACAGCATGAGGGTGTGTAAATTATGACAAAATGTTTGGGTCCCTTTAATTTAGGCTTTAAATCTGTACTTCACTGAAAGCGACTGTGTCTCTTCAGAAGACCTGGATTACTTTTAAAATCTTTTTGTACTTTTTTTTAGGCTTGACAGTTTTTATTGCATGGACTTTCAATGGTGGGTGAACTATTCCTTTAAACAATACATCAATGAATTGTATGAACTATCAATTTTACTAAACTTCTTTTATCCTTTCTGATATTCTGTAATTGTTCTTTACGATAAAACTAAATACTGAAACAACTCAATTTAAAGGCCTGATCTCCACAGTTCTTTACTAAATGCCCTTATAAACAGTGAGCATGCTAACCACAAGACAAGCATGAGTTTTAAAGGTAGCTGTGTTTCATTTTATCTTCAGAGTCCACTTAACACAACAGTGTGCCAAAATTTAAGATTTAACAAACATGAATGTTTTTTACTACATTTAAATTTGTTTGTACTTTATTCAAATTATGTTCAGAAGATGTACTGTCAATGGTTTGGTGCTATTGCAATGTAGACAGCATCAATGACTACAATGTGTCTCTTTGGATTCTGAAAATATGACCTTTACAAACATATTTAAGACTAAGATATGAAAGACATTTTTTTCCAACCTTGCATTATAAAAAATATTTTCAAACTTTAAGGGCCCACGGACTACCCATGTATATAGAGTAAGACAGATAAGGATGACTATAGACAGACACAAACCATCTTGATCATGAGCAGGCAACGTGACTGCAGTAATGCCGCCTGAGGGCGAGGCGAGGGCGAACACTGCCTCCCCCTGATGACTGATCCAGGTGGCTGACGTGGACGGAGCGCACGCTGGCGCTGCTTGTGCAAATGGGAGCACGTAACTGTGGGCTGGTTCGCTTAAATTCAGCTTCCCAATGTCTGTGAAAATGGACTGCATCTGGAGTTCAGTGACAAAATCCTATAAAAGATGAATCTGTTAGACCATACAGAGTATATAGATCATATACATAAGTAATACCATTACATTCTGAATCTGTCAAAATTCATGCAAAAAGTTATATAGTTATATAGATATTTTATAATGCATATACCGATACCAATGCCGATTCTAATGCTTCAATCCAGAGATGGGCACTCGAGTTTGTGACTCGGACTCGAGGCGCATTTTTATAGACTTCAGACTTGACTCAGACTCGACCTGAAATGACTCCAGACTTTACTCGACTCGAGGAAAAGGACTCGTGAAAATTTTAAAAGCAACTCGAGTCTTTTATCCTTACTTATATAACTGATATTCAAAAGGCAGACAGCATCCGCACCCCGGCATCCATCCGGACCACGAGACGTAAACACAGCACTATTTTAAGTGAGCAGTGCGTCAAAACAGCGCAGCGGATCACATAACAAGCGCTCAGGGTCGTTTATGATGAATATCTTTCAGCACTATATCTTTTAGTATTTTTATCAAAAGACAAACGTGCTTTATTCAAGCCCTTTCAGCTCCGTGCGCTTTCTCTTTCTGTCTCTCCAGACGCGTGCCGGCGCCAAGTTAGAGCTGCGGATGACGCGGTTATTTTAACAACAACAGAAACAACAAAACACAGCAGAAAACAACAATGCTGCAAATATAGTTATACTGTGGAGGACAAAATAAACATTTAAAAAAAAATTAAAAAAAACATTTAAACTCCTAAAAGAACTAATTGGCGTAGTTTGATGCAACTCATTAGGTTTTATTTAACATTGTCCAATGTTAGAGAGAGGACAAAATAAATAGAAACATTTAAACTCCAACATGGAGAAGTCTGATGTAACACAAGGTTTAATACTGTCCAATATAAGACTGAAGAGTAAAAAAAGATAACACTTTTTGTTCCGTTCAGTTGTGGATGCTGCTGATTCACCGAGACCGCCGCGGCTCAGCAAAGAGACATGCGTGTGTGTGTGTGTGTGT